CACTCATCAAGTTCAAGCATGAAGTGTTTACTAAGTTCCAAAAGTTCAAGGTGAAGGCTGAGAAGCAGGGTGGTCAGAAGCTGAAGATTCTGAGAACAGATGGTGGAGGTGAGTATAACTCTACAGAGTTCCAAAAGTTTTGTGAGGAGAATGGAATAGAACATGAGGTTACTGCTCCATATACTCCTCAACACAACGGTCTTGCTGAAAGAAGAAACAGAACTTTGCTTAATATGACCAGAAGTATGCTAAAACAGAAGAAGTTACCTCACATGTTATGGGGAGAAGTTGTTGTCGCATCAGCATATGTTCTGAATAGGTGTCCAACAAAGAAGCTGAAGGAAACTGTTCCTTTAGAAAAATGGACTGGAGACAAGCAAAGTGTTATCCATCTGAAGGTGTTTGGTTCTGTATGCTACAAACACGTTCCAGATGCTAGAAGATGAAAACTGGATGATATAAGCAAAACAATGTTACTGGTGGGGTACCACAGTACAGGTGCCTATAAGCTTTATTGTCCAGAAACCAACAAAGTTGAAATCAGCAGAGACGTCATTGTGAAAGAGTCAGAAACATGGGATTGGAACAAGCTTCAATCAGATTCTGGTGTAGTGCCAATACTAGGGTTAGTTTCTGAAGATCCTTCAGAAAGTTCTGAAGACGAGTCAGAGTCAGAAGATGAAGACTCTGAAGATGAGTCAGAATCTCAGGGAGATTCTGATAGTGGATCTGATTCTGGTCCAGATTCTGATGATGATCCAGAATCTGGTGGTGATTATACTTTTGGAAGGGAAAACTCTGAAGACATGGGGTCTGGAGAACAAGTTTCCAGAAGTAACTCTGAATGTGGTAATTCTGAAGGAAATAATTCTGGACAAAGTCCAGAAGCCAGCACAGTTCCGAGTTCTGGAGAAGCTTCAGAACTAGATCAGAGGCCACAGAGAATCAGACGAATACCAAGTAGGTTTGCAGATTTTAGCATGTTGCATGATACTGAAGTAGATTCTGAAGGAGAAATCGTTCAGTGTGCCATGCTAGTAGATTCTGAATCAGTGGGTATTGAAGAAGCACTCAAGAAGAAAGTATGGCTGAATGCCATGAAAGAAGAACTTGAGGCTATTGAAAGAAACAAGACTTGGAAGCTGACAGAACTTCCAAAAGGCAAGAAAGCCATCAGCGTCAGATGGGTTTTCAAGCAGAAGCTAAAGCCAGATGGATCAATTGGCAAACACAAAACGAGACTAGTGGCCAGAGGTTTTCTTTAGAAACCTGGACTAGATTACTTTGAGGTGTTTGCGCTTGTAGCTAGACACGAAACAATCAGACTGGTGATTGCTTTAGCTGCAAACAGAAATTGGCCTTTGATACATCTGGATGTGAAGTCTGCATTTCTGAATGGTCCATTACAAGAAGAAGTTTATGTGTCACAACCTCCTGGATTTGTGAAAGAATCAGGAAGGGATGGTATACAGGTTAAATAAAGCTCTGTATGGACTGAAGCAAGCGCCCAGAGCTTGGAATTTGAAGATTGATTCGTTTTTCAAGGAACAAGGTTTTCAGAAGTGTGAGATGGAGTATGGTGTTTATGTTAAGCATACTTCAGAAGGTAATATGATTATGGTCTGTTTGTATGTTGATGACATATTACTCACAGGAAGTTCTGAACAAGAAACAGTTGAGTTCAAGAAAGTTCTGATGAATGCGTTTGAGATGATAGATCTTGGAAAAATGAGTTTCTTTCTAGGGATAAAATTTATATACTCTGAGAAAGGAATCATCTTACATCAGAAGAAGTATGAACTGGAGCTTCTGAAGAGATTTGAGCTAGCAAATTGCAAGGTTGCTATCACACCTGCTGATACGAATCAGAAGTTGGATTCTGATTCTAATGGAGAGGATGTGGATGCTACAACCTTCAAACAGATGGTTGGTTCTCTGAGGTATTTGTGTAATACCAGACCTGATATTTGCTATGCAGTTGGAATGGTCAGCAGATACATGAGAAAACTAAAGTGGTCTCATTACCGAGCTGCTGTCAGGATTCTGAGGTATGTAAAAGGAACTCTGAAATATGGAGTGTTATTTCCTTCTGGAGGAAAGAGCAAATCAGAACTTCTGAGTTATTCTGATTCTGATTGGTGTGGAGATAGAGTTGACAGAAGAAATACTTCTGGGTACTTGTTCAAGTTTCTGGGAGGTTCAATTTCTTGGAGTTCCAAGAAACAGCCTGTTGTGGCTTTGTCAACATGTGAAGCTGAATACATTGCAGGTGTTGTAGCTGCTTGTCAAGCAGTTTGGCTTCTAAATCTGCTGCATGATCTGAAGGTTGAAGTTGAGGAACCTCTGAAGCTGATGATTGATAATAAGTCTGCAATTAATCTTGCAAAAAATCCAGTGCTACATGGAAGAAGCAAGCACATTGAGACGAAGTATCACTTTCTCAGAAGTCAAGTGCAGAAAGGAGTGTTAGAAGTTCTGCACTGTAGCACTCAGAAGCAGCTAGAAGATGTTCTGACAAAGGCGATAAAAACAGACTAATTTCTTCGCTTGAGAGATGAAATTGGTGTTGTTAACTTCTGATAAGTTATTAAATTACGGGATAGTATTAGAGGGTAATTTAGTATTTGTCATATGTAGGATATTCCCTTTAGGCCCTATGTGGCATTCTTATCTTTGTTCATTTTGTGTATAAATAGTTGTACTAGATTTACATTTATGACAATCAATTTCCTTCAATCATTAGTGGCAGCTTTTAGCATTTATTCCTTTTCTCTCTTCTTCCTCAATTTCATCACCTTGCACTAACACTTAGTGCCATAGCAGTTTTCTTTCGCATGCCTTAGTTCCATCACTTTTCTTTCGCATGCCTTAGTTCCAAGAAAAAGATTGCTTAAACAAGAGTTGCAATCTCCTCGGTCAATGAATCAATTTAGTTACCATTTGAGTTAATCTTTCTATTTAAATATATTGGAGTGAAGGCCACGACTTGAATATGTTTAAACTTTCATACGATTTCTTTATGACAGGGGTGGTGGTGAGATTGTGACAAGCTTTATTTATGAGACAATGTCTTGCATTGAACAACTACAACAAATAACATCATTATAAATCATAATGCATAATGATGTTATTGTTTTGTGGTCTCCTTTATATATATATATATATATATATATATATATATATATATATATATATATATATATATATATATATATATATATATATATATATATATATATATATATATATATATATATATATATATATATATACATTAATATCATTCTCTTAATTATCATTAAGATTCTTCTACAACAAGCTTCAACATTCAATATTTAAATATTTGAAGTCTCCGAAGATAAAAAAAAAGTTCAAAGGTTAACGTTTGATGTTGTACATAAAGTGTCTGTGACCTCTATCCTTTAGGATGACGTAAGGACAATTATTTATATTGTATTGTCAATCACTCTCATTGTGATCGTTGAGAACAAACAGTTGAATTTACAACTATCTTTCTTTACTCAACAGATCTCTATTTACAAGCTTAATAGAAAAACATTATTCAGAGAAAAGGTGGAAAGCTATCATTGAACAATGACAGAATACAAAAATATTATTTTATACTATATAAACTCTTACACCTTATTCTATCCGTTAGAAACTAACCGTTAGTGCAGAAAAAGTTATTTATATCCTCACAACGTCTCTTTCTGTCAAAGACTATAACTGAAGATTGAAGATTCAAAGAAAAGTTGTGGTTTGTCATTGACCATCAAGCTTCATCTTGTGAAAGAAAGCAGTAGATACTGAAGATGTTAAAGCTACAATACTACAAATTCTAAAGACCATCAAAGAGAGAAAAGAAAGAAAGATGTCATTCAACTTTCATCACATGCATCTTGAATGAAACAAAATTATTCAACTTAAGAGGGATGTTATTCTACTTTAGGAGAGATAAAGAACCATCAATTTAAGAGAGATGTCAACAAAATTATTGACAAATCAAATGGTATTTCATTACACATTTATTTGTAACATCATTCTCTTAATTAGCATATTCAGCTCATTATTGAAAAAATCAAATTGTATGAGATTGTACATTTATTTGTAACAACATTCTTTTAATTAGCATAATTAACTGTAAATGTACATATGAAAATTTAACTAATTTAATGGGTTGAAAGTTTCACTTAACTGCTTTATTAGTTAACACAATTTTCTTAGTTACCGATATATTCATTTATATAAAGTTTCACTTGGAAAAACTAGTCGAATTTAAAATAAAGAAATTAGTTATAAAATATGATAATCAAAAACTGAAATTAAATCTTTAAAAAAGTTGGCAACCTTTTTTAGGGTGAGGTTCTCCAGACAACAAATTTCTTTAATCAGTTTCTCTCCCACTTTTTGTCATGGCATTCTAATTTCCATAAAACATCCAATTATCTATTTCTTTACTATTTAAATATTTAATTATTTTTAAAATAGAATATATAGTCCTAAAATATTATTATCTACTTTGCAAAAAAATAATTAATTAACTACCCATATTTTGTAACAAAATTTTCCAAGTTAAATCTATTGAAATCTTATTTACCTTAATTATGTATAGATTATTAATGTTTTATCAACAGAATTAAAGAGGATAATATTCTAATCATTGATGAGTGAAGGTAATCAAACAATAATTCAAAAAATTCCAGCTAATGAATTTGTTATGACTTATAAACTAATGGTCTTATGCTGTTCCATAAAGTACACAGTCAAATCATCGAGTTTGAGGTGCCTGTTTTTAAGGATCTAAAATGTTATCAAGTCTAATTTTATGCAATGTTATTAATCAAGAAAAAAAGATTTGTAACGTTTGGTGTTAATAGAAAAATTTAACAGGAAACAACAAGATTAATGATGTTAACTAATTTGTAGATAGATAAACAATAATCATCTTTTAAATTGATTTGATCCCCCAACGCTCACATTTTGTTGAGGGCGTTGCGAGGATGACGAATATTGTTATTACTACTACGTTACAATCGGCGCCAGGAAGTTCAGGGTATTTGGATTTGTACCCTGAACGCAAAATGTCATTTTTTAAGAATCCTTATGTTCTAGGTCTCGCTGCAGTCGCTGGCATTGGTGGTTTGCTTTTTGGCTACGACACAGGTAACTTCATACATAAATATATATTTGGTCCATGCATTAGACCTTCTATATGTTCATGAAAATCAGACTTGTGCAATATGGACTACAACATAGACTCAATTTTTTTACGAATAAATTGTGATTAAATTGAGTTTCATAATATATTTGTCAGGATTAAACTATGACTAATTAGCACTCCTAGTTGTTTTATCACGGCGAGTCGTAACTAAACTTACACAGAGTTTCCAAAAGCTTAAGATGACTCTCATGAAAATATTTAAATAAAATTTGCAGGTGTGATATCAGGAGCACTTCTATACATAAAAGATGATTTTGAATCTGTTAGAGAAAGTAAAATTCTGCAGGAAACAATAGTAAGCATGGCAATAGCTGGTGCAATATTTGGAGCAGCAACAGGTGGTTTGTTTAACGATGCTTACGGAAGAAAAATGTCAACACTCTTTGCTGATGTTATATTTATTTTTGGATCAATCACTATGGCTGCTGCACCTGATCCTTACATTCTCATAATGGGACGCCTTCTTATTGGTTACGCCGTAGGAATTGCGTCTGTCACCGCTCCCGTCTACATTGCTGAAGCATCGCCTTCCGAAATCAGAGGTTCTTTAGTCAGTACTAATGCTCTCATGATTACTGGTGGACAATTCATTTCGTACATAGTTAACCTCGCCTTTATGCGTGTTCCCGGTACTTGGCGATGGATGTTGGGAGTTTCGGCTGTCCCTGCACTTGTTCAATTCATTCTCATGCTCTTCCTCCCTGAATCTCCTAGATGGCTTTTTATGAAGAATAGAAAAAATGAAGCTGTAGATGTTCTTTCCAACATCTATGTCTTGGCTCGTCTTGAAGATGAAGTCGAATTTCTAACAGCTGAGGCGAAACAAGACATACAGAAAAATAAGAAAGTAAGATTTGGGGATGTTTATAAATCTAAAGAAATCAGATTAGCATTCATGGTTGGAGCAGGACTTATGGTGTTCCAACAGTTTACAGGAATTAACACTGTGATGTACTACGGTCCCACGATAATTCAAATGGCGGGTTTTAAATCTAATGAAATGGCTCTTCAAATCTCAATCTTTGTTGCTGCAATGAATGCTGTTGGAACAGTTCTTGGTATTTACCTCATTGATCATGCAGGGAGGAGGATCTTAGCTCTATGTAGCTTAGGTGGCGTGTTCGCGTCTTTGGTTCTCTTGTTTGTGTCATTCTCAAACCAATCATCATCAGCAGCAAGTAGTACTGGATGGCTAGCAGTTTTGGGTTTGATACTGTATATTGCGTTTTTCTCGCCGGGGATGGGGCCAGTGCCGTGGACGATGAACTCGGAGATATATCCTAAGGAATATAGAGGAGTTTGTGGGGGTATGGCTGCTACTGTGTGTTGGGTTTCCAATCTCATTGTTTCTCAGACATTTCTTTCTGTCGCTGAAGCTATAGGAACTGCTCTCACTTTCTTGATTCTTGCTATCATTACAGTGTTTGCCTTTGTGTTTGTGTTTCTATATATTCCTGAGACTAAAGGATTGACCTTTGATGAGGTTGAGCTAATATGGAAAGAGAGAGCTTGGGGCAGCAGTGACATTAACAAAAACAACAACAATAACTCTGACTCACAAAATCTTCTAGGGAGGGACAATGATCAATAATCCTTAATAGCTAAATTCTTTACTTTCCTAAAAAAATACCACTAAGTATTGGGGAATACTGAGGAAGAAAATGCTAGATTGAAGGTAGTAAGGGAAGCAAATGACCGAACAAGATTTGGGCACAAGGGAAACTTCAAGCATATCAATTAATGAAAGTGCAAACATTGGGAACTAAGAGACTAAAATCTCAAAGGTACATATCACAAAATGATGGTGCAAAGATTGGGCGACGGCTTTACGACAGGTAAAGGTGGGAACTGCTTAACTATACCAATCAGGAAACATTGATTGGAGCTCGATTTACATAAAATCCAAATTTTATGTTGCATCCTACAGCAAACATGTTGTTTCATACCAACAGATAGATTATTCGATTTATTATTATGTTTTTTAATTTGATTTTTTATAATATTATTATTATTAGAGATTAGTTTTCATACACTATAATGTAAAACAAACTGGTTAACAGTAACCAGCTAGTGCAGATAACTTGAAAGACAAGATAACAAACAAATTGAAATAAACACTCTAAAAAGTAATCACAATGAGAATATTAAACCAGGTCTGATAAGGAGGAATATAGATAAGAAATTGATAATAACTCATTCGGCAGACTATATTCTTTAAATTCTCCTGCACATGGTTTGGTAAGAATTCTAACAACTGGTCTATCGCCAATTTGTCATCTCTGTCATTGGCAAATTGATTCAGCATCTGTATTTTTAATTCCAGTACATGGCATACATAAGAAGTTATAGAATGTTTCTTTGACTCATTTCTTAGTTTTTGCTCTCTTGGAACTTGGAGCTTTTTTCTTGGATATCTTTGACTGTGATTTTCCGCCAGTACTTCTACCTCTTTTCTTTTCAGCACCCTGCATCCAAATTTTCAGCAACTAAGTATGTATGCAATAGTGTTTTCAATTATTAATAAGGACAAATCTAAAACCTAAAGCTACTGGGAAAAGAAACTTACTGATGTTTTGTCTGCCTTCCGTTTAGATTTACCAGGCGTCTGTTCCTCGGCGTGCTCATTTTGATCAGGGTGGGTGGTTTTCTGATTCTTGCCAGCTTCCTCATCAGAATCAAAGTTAAAACCATCCAATGTCCCTTCTCACATGAAAAGAATAGATGTCAGACAAAGAAATCATGCATAATATTTAAAGTAATAGTACCAGACACAAGCCACAGTTAGTTGTTGGTGGATGCAAATTACCTTCAACCATAGTTTCAGCTTCATAAACATCAGACGGTGGATTCAGCTGTACAAAGTCATTCATGATGGCCTCTATCTGAAAATAAATTATAGTTTAAACACCAATGTTGGCCCGTATTTTACAAAGTCCTTGTCAAGGATGACTAATGACTGATATGCAAATACATGAGGAAATAAGTAGATAACCGATAAGTAGCAATCATGATGACTTCAGAAATATTTACTGCATAAATTGAGCTAATAAGTTGGACCTATATAAGAACAGACCTTTGCCTCTGACTGCCCAAAGCTTACCTGAAAAAGAAAAGATAAACTCATTAATCATGGAAGTAATTAGCTACAAGGCCAAATAAAAACTTTCAATGCCGTGATGATAAATGCAGATCACATCCAAGATGACATACAACGCAAAACGTCCGGCAAGGAACTATAGATGTTTTGTAGACTGTTCCTGAAAAGAATATTAAAACTTGAGCAATCAGATACAGGTTGCCACTATCAGACAAATGCAGTGTAACACAAAAAATGCAAGACTAATAATGTACACATTACAGCAGCATATAATTTGGAGTAGAAATCAATATGACAAAATGAGGTGATAACTAAAAATCAAGGTTTAATTAGAAGTTTGAGATTCCCATTTTTAAGAACTTATAACATACAGTCAGATGTTTCTTGAAGACTCGACACACAACAATCAGTACAGCACTTAGCTAAGCTGTATTATGGTTCTGCATATGTATATGGAGTGTTATCATCAAGATGTATGTGTTTGTGTCTTCATACATTGAAGACAATAATATTTGTTTGCCAATCAGAAAACATGTGTTCTAAGATACCTTTCAAATCTAAGCACATTTCTGGATCCCCGGAAAGGGAATCCGAGATGATAATCCGCCCTACAGCTCCCATATCACCACTCAAATCTATGGAGTCCCCTTGACACTCAATAAGAGCCTGCAAACAGAGCAGCATTTTGTCATTGGCTCATTTCCTATTTCATAAAAAAGGAAAAGAAAATCATTGCAACAGATGTGATTTTTACAAACTTCTATGTTTGGTACCAATTTGTATCACTTTTCTTCCACAATTTTATTTGTTCTCAAAAGTGAAACATGTTATGTTACTCATCTGGTTGTCCCTATGGTAGTATCTAAACATGGCCAGTAAAACCAGACATTTAGCAAAGGAATCCTGACCTTTGTCCGATGAACTTTCTCAGAGAGCATCAAAGGCAACATTGAGGAGGAAACCTAGAACAAATAGAAAGCAAATTTTAGAATGTCAAGAATAGATAGGCAGCCAATGTGGTCTTTGATAGTTATTATTTATTCAAGATCAAAGTGATGGGCGCTGCGAGCCATTTTTAGGAAATCATTATAACAATGAAATTCTCACATTCAGTCCAACAGGCTTTCCAACAGTTTCTTCCTCTTTAACCTCTACATCTCCATCACCACCTGTCCCATTTCCATAATACACGTACAAAATAATAATGAAGTGCCTATTTCAAATCCATATGTATTAAGATGGGGAAATGTATTGCATTTTTTTCCTTAAAAGTAAAAATTAATCGTTTCATACCTTTCCCATTTACATTAACCTTTGTTTTCTTCCCTTTTACTGGTGTGGAATCTTCTACCTTTATTTGTTTTTGGGAAGTCTTTGCTTTTGAAGCCTTTTTGGATGGAGACTTTCCATCTTTATCATGAAGTCCATCCCCACATTCTACTTCACCAGGTGGTTGAGATATTTGAGGCTTAGAAGTTTCCACCTGATCAATATGATCTTCAGTTTTTGGAATATGATCATGGCATGACTCGGAATCAGATGACAGTTCCCACAGTGAATGAATGGGTTCCTATGCAAAAACATTTGATATTATCAGTAATAACAATATAAGTGGCAGGCCAAAGCCAAGAACATATTTGTGACACGATGCCCATAATAAGGCAAAAGGAAATGTGTTCTTCTCCATAAATCTACAAATGCATGGATCTTACTTTGTGCTTTGTTTCCTTGTCGGTGTCAGAGTCAAGCTCGATCTTCTTTTCCTCCTTCTTTCCTGCATCATAAGTACCAAGGGACAAAATGATAATGCAATAAAAAAATCAAACTCTCGAATGATTCTCATATTGTATAACTCAAGTCAATTGACCGTAAATACTATTTCATCTTGAGGATCTGCAATTGAAAATCAAATATCAAGTGTACCAATTTTCTCCTTTTGCGTATCCATTTTCTTCTTTGAAGCACTCTTGTTTTTGTTGACATTTGGATACTTTGGTGACTTTGGAGATGACTCTTCATCATCAATTCTATCCTCATCTGAAAAGCCACCACTATCACGTAAAGGTTCAGAATCAGATGACAGATTCAATGGCGAATCAGGAGTGGGTACCTAGTAGCAGGAAAAAGTATAAGCACCGTGGTATTAGCATTTCTCAATCAATTCTTAGGAACTGATATACAATGTGAAGATTGCAATAATGGAAGTATGTACTTTAAAAATTGTAATCATGGGCAAATTAAGGTGATACCTGAAAAGAACGCAACCAATCAGGGGAGCTGTCTCCAGAACTGCTCATTTTTGAGGTAAGTGATAATGAGAAAGTGGTATTGATCCTGAAAGAACGAAAAACAAGTTTAAGGCATCGTAGTGGCGTGCATGGTTGACCAAACCATTTGTCGACTTAATGGCACATCATCAACATCATTTACTTAATCTTATACATTCAAACATTAAGTTTCGAAAGTCTACTAAATGATAAATTTCAGCTAAAACATTTTTTATGTCTTGATCCTAGAAAGTAAATCAATCATCATCAAATATAGTTCATTATTTGACCCTTTTGCATAGTAGGAGTCAATGTACTGACAATAGTTCCCAAGACACTATAAATGATGGTTATGCTGCTGCGATTTGTTCAAGTACCTTTGGGAATGCCCATAATATTTAGCATATTAATTTTCTTTTAACGTTACAACTACCAAATGTTTGGGCATTACATAATATAATTTTAACAACAGAAGTGCCAAACAGTGTTTCCAAAACTAGTGCAATTGATTCCACTCAAGGAAATGATACTGCAACACCTTGTATAAAACTTAATTAAGAAAACCCCATCAAATGATTTTCCAATCTGTTTAAAATGTATTGTCAATGTTGATCATGAGGCTGCATGTTTTAAAATACGATTTTGGCTTAACTTTGTGCACCCTTAATTGCATACAGTCAATAATCAACAATAGTGAAGAGAACACTAATTTGCGATAAGTAGAAGATGTATGCCTGATGTTGCAAATTACATGTGGCAACTAAGCTCGACTATTTGCAACAATAGTTAAGAAGACAGTAACTCGCAACATGCACCTATCAGAATAAGCAGGATGCAGGAGGATGCTGAACTAATGGCTAATATTGAGGTCGAGATCTTAATCAAAGAATATAGAATTACTTTAGCATAGAAAATTAGCCAGCTATTCTAGAAAAAGAAAATTAACAAGAAACTCTAAAAAAAAACATCAATGAAATCAACAATTCAGATTACAATCAACTTGTCCAGCGTACACTAAACTTTATACGAGACTAGCATTCATGATAAAAAGCATCAAAAGATCACTTAAGCTCAAACTCGATTATAATAAAATCAATTCAAAGTTATTTCAATCAAAAGCTCACCAAAAACACTCATAATCAATTAAGCTAGCATAATCAATTAAACTAGCATAATCAATTTAAGAATCAACAGAAATCACACATGGTTAACAAAGCTAACATAAACATTCTATAGAAAAAGTGAACATGGTTGTAAGACCAGATTCACGGGGAACGCAGAGCAGAGTTCCTATCAAGTGCAAATTCAGAAAGCGAAATCTCAAGGAAAATGAAGCATAATAGAAACAGAAAGAGAAAGCGAGCTCGCCTTAGAATGTGGAGAAAGGACGCGGTTAATCGTCGCCGGAGCTGGAGAAAGAGTGTGAGAAGAAGGGTGAAATCGAGGTTGGAGCTAGGGTTCGGTCACTTGGATTTGCGATTTGGAGGGAAACCGGTTTATAAACCTATTAGATATATGGGTACCCGTTTTTCATTATTGGTGTCTGCTTCTGTTTTTTGGTTAAATGGTTTGGGGTTTTAAAGTTTAGAGAAGGTTTGGTTATTATTGTGGTTAAAGGTAACTACCAAAATTTATGAGTTTGGAATAGTAATCTAATCGAATTTTATATCTAAGAGGAATTAATATCTCATATTTAAGAAGATAGCGGTGCATTTTGTTGTTTGTTGGCCGAGTGTTGTTTGTTTATCATTCCACGCTTTTAAAATTGAAACAATGTTTCATTCCACGCTTTAACGAGATTAGTAATAATCTTTGTTAGAAATAATTTATATTTTAAGAATGTCTTATTAACTAAGTTTGTTAGAGGGTATTTTAGTATTTTATTATATCTTAATATTGTGTATAAATAATCTAGTAATAGGTAGGTCAATGTATTCATTACTCCTTATTTTGTAGCCGTCATTTGCTATATTTCTTTTGTCTTTCATCTCTCCTTTGTGAACTAACAATTGATATCTATAGCTCCGGTTCGAAATTTACGGGGAAACACGAGTGAACAGTGAGGTGTTGTGTGATTGAGAATCACATTTTTTTTGATTCTGTGGGATTTGGGAAACATTGTATGTTAGTGAGTTTTTAGTGAAATGCACAAGGTTGAAGATGAACGGAAACGAAGATATTAATTCCAAGCTTCTAGTGTTTGATGGCAAAAACTGAATTGTTGGAAGATTCAGATGTGTGTGTTGTTCGGTTCTCAAGATGTGTTAGATCTTGTCACTGATGATTATGCTTCATTAGCAGCAGACGCGACAGAGGCACAAAAGACAACGCAAAAGGCGATAAGGAAGAAAGATCAGAAAACATTGTTCTATGTAACGCCCCGATAATTTAATTGATTATTTAATTAAAATTATTAGTTGGAGTTGAGCAATGTTGCAAATTATTATTAAGTTGCTCTGTGACATTATTTGATTAAATGGTGGTTTAATAATATTAAATATATTTGAGCATTATAAGATTAATTGTTGGGCTTATTTAAGTGATGTCATGTAGTAAATATGGGAGTGTGGATATTGGCCCAATAAGAATTACTAGAATTACAAGGTTAAGTGGATATAAAAGGAATTAGGTTAATTGAGAAAAAGTGAGAGAATAGATGGGAGAAACTCATTCCCGTTTTTATTGCAGCAGTCTCACTAAATCAACAATCCCCGATTCGTTAACCGTTGGATCATGCTCAAATTTTGAGGGTAGGATCACAACACTTACATCTAACTTTTGACTGTTGGGATCTTCAAATAAGGTCTGAGTTAGGAGATATCATCATCGCACTGTAGCTGCATATTTGGGAAAAAATTTAGCTTTGATTCTGATCTAGAGAGAAAAAAATCTTGGAAGGTTTTGGTACAAGAGAAGTTGCAGAGAAGAGAAAAATAAGGGTTTTGAGGAGAAGAAAAGGGATACGTGGAAGTTACACCAAGCGCCCAAGAGGAGATTCTGTAGGTGTTTAGGTATTGGCTTGCATTTTTGGTAAATCCCAAGTGTATGTGTGAATGTCATGACTGATGTCATAACATTCTAGTTTAGTTTGTACTGACTCATTAGGTACCTTTGCAGAAAAATATTGTAATTCAAGTACTGATGTTTATAAGTGTGTATCTGAGCATTTTGCAAAATAATCACATTTTGCTAAATCAGTAGACAGGTTTTCTCAGATGTCATAACAGATGTTATGACATCCTGTTCTGAACTAACAGGTTTGCAGGTTGGATAAGTCTGAGTTTTTTCAGGAAAATAACTCAGTCTTTCCTGAACAGAATCCTGCATTTTCTGAGGGGTAACCTAGCTCAACCCTAACCTGGTTAATAAAGCCCTGTGACCTGGTCTTTAGGTCAAACGAAATTAACCCTAGGTTTTTGTGGAAACCCTAACTGAAGTTGCAGTTGCTATATATTCAACAGAGCTGCTGTTTTGCAAGGCATCCCTTTTATTGATCAGAAGATCATTTGTAATCTGTATAGGTTTGATTATTGTACTCCAAGCAATTATCATTATGATAAGTGACTTGGAATAGGTTTCAAATTGTAAGGGTTGTGTAGCACTCAAAGCTTTGAAGCAAGAGTGTTTGAATGTTCCTTGACTAAAGCTGTGAAGCAGAGTCAAGTTAGCTGTGTGCATCACTCAAAGCTGTGAAGCAAGAGTGATTGTGTTGCTTGATTAAAAAGATGTGAAGCTTAATCAAGTGTTTGTTTTTGAAGAGTGTCTTCATCAATTCTTAAGTCAAATTGGTTTATGTATCACTGCTGTGATTGAGGGGGAGTGAGTAGGAACTCAGGTTTAAGTTGTACTTAGATTGGAATTGCATTGGGTAGGTCTTAAGTGAAGGAGATAAACTGGTTGGTTTATTCCTGAATTAACATCTCTTATAGTGGATTTCCTCCCTGGCTTGGTAGCCCCAAGAGTAGGTGTTGTTGCATACTGAACTGGGTAAACAATTGACTGTGTTCTTTATTGCTTTTGTATTTACTATCATATAGTAAGTCAGATACGGTGTCATAACATTGAACGTGACATTGAGTATCTGCAGCCAGAATTTCAATTGGTATCAGAGCAGGCACCCTGCCTGTATTACTGGGTGAGATCTAGGGATATCACTTTCTGGCACTATGGACAAAGAAGGAGTTTTTGGAAATAGACCACCCATTCTGGATGGAACTAATTATGACTACTGGAAACCTCGTATGATTGCCTTCCTAAAATCTCTGGACAGAAAGGCTTGGAGAGCTGCTGACAAAGGATGGATTCATCCCACCATAACTGAGAAAGATGGGACAATCAGTCTGAAGCCTGAGGAAGATTGGAGTAAAGAAGAAGATGATTTAGTCCTGGGAAATTCAAAAGCTTTAAATGCCTTGTTCAATGGAATTGATAGAAACATCTTCAGACTAGTACATCAATATGAACTGGCCAAGGAAGTTTGGGACACTCTCAAAATTACTCATGAGGGCACTTCCAAAGTAAAAATGTCAAGGCTTCAGATGTTGACTACCAAATTTGAGAATCTAAAAATGATGGAAGATGAAACCATTCATGAGTTTCACATGAACATCTTGGAGATTGCCAACACCTCAGGAGCACTGGGAGAAAAGATGTCAGAAGAAAAACTGGTAAGGAAGATTCTCAGATCCTTGCCTAAAAGATTTGCAATGAAGGTAACTGCCATAGAGGAAGCCCAGGACATCAGCAAGTTGAAAGTGGATGAACTTATTGGGTCTCTTCAGACTTTTGAGATGAGGATCACTGATAATGGTGACAAGAAGAACAAAAGCATAGCACTTGTATCCAACGCTGATGTTGAAAACAAGGAGGATGAAGAAGAAAATATATCAGAAGCTATTGCTATGCTTGGAAGACAGTTCAACAAGCTCATCAAAAGAATGGATCCAAAGTCAAGGTCTAATGTTCATAACATTCCCTCTGACATTGACAGTTCCAGCAGAAGACCAAGGTCAGAAGATAAGGGAAACCAA